CCCCCCCTTCCCCCGCCTAGCATCTTCATCATGGCGCCCAGATCCGGCATACCGCCTCCGCCCATGGCGCCCGCGCCACCGCCCATACTCTGCATGCGTTTCTGCATAGCAGCGAGCTGCTGCTGTTTATTCCCGCCGCCCATAGCGCCCTGCGCTTTCTGCATATTGGCCATTCCGCCTTTCATTTTCTTGGCCATGCCGGCCATCATGCGGTGCTGCGTGAGTAGTTCCTCCACCTCGCGGACCGAGGTGCCTGAGCCGCGGGCAATGCGCGTCATGCGGGTAGGCTGGTCTACGAACATTTTGCCGTCGGATTCGAGTTCCTTGTCTGTCATGCTGTCGCAGATGTAGATCATGCGTTTTAGTTTTGTGCCGCCTTCTTCGTCGTCCATGCCGCCCATCATGCTGCTGAGGCCGGGGATCATGCCGGCCATTTTGGATAAGGGGCCCATTTTCATGATGTTGGAGAGCTGGTCGCGGAGGTCTTTGATGGTGAAGATGCCTTGGGTGATGTGCTTCATGGTGTCTTTTTGGTCGAGTTTGAGCGACTGCACGTGCTCGACTAGGCCTTGCACGTCGCCCATGCCGAGCAGTTTGGAGACAAAGGCTTGCGGGGCGAAGCGCTCGAGGTCCAGCATGTGTTCTCCGTTTCCGATGAAGACGATGGGCGTGTGTGTTGCGGCGACGGCGGAGATGGCACCTCCTCCTGCTGCGGCACCGTCCGTCTTTGTGATGACAATGGCACCGAAATCTGCTGACTCCTTGAACGCGCGCGCCTGGGCTTCTGCGGCCTGACCGATTGTCGCGTCCAAGACCATGATAGTCTGGTCGGGCTGCACGGCACTCTGAATCTGCACCATCTCGTCGAAGAGGTCCTTTTCCTGCCTGTGTCGTCCAGACGTATCCACGATGATAATCTCAAAGCGCTCCTTCTTGAACTTGTCCACACCCTCGGCCGCAACAACCACGGGATCCGTCTGGGTATGGCTACCATAGTAGGGGATCTTGGCCTTGGTTGCGTTCTGCTTCAGCTGGTCAAAGGCACCGGCACGGAAAGTGTCGGCGCACACCAGACAGGCCTTGAAGCCTCGTGCCTGGTACCATCTCGCCAGCTTGGTGCACGTCGTCGTCTTACCGGAACCCTGCAGACCGACAAACATGATGACGTTGGACTTGCCCTTGCGCGGCTTGAAGGGCTCGGCGTGGGGGTCCACCAGCTTGACCAGCTCGTCGAAGACGGTCTTCTGGATGAGGCGCTTCTTGTTGACGCCGGGGGCGAGGTGCTTGAAGTCGACGGAGCGCTTGATGGACTGGCGCAGGTTCATGACGAGCTTGACGTTGACGTCGGCCTCGACCAGGGCGTTTGAAATCTCTTTGACCATGGCATCGAAGGCCTGGACGTGTTAGGCAGTGCGTGCATGGGGGGTGTGTATTGAACAGAGTAGTGTTCAACAGTGTGGACGGGCGCACCTTCTCGTCGAGGTTGGGCGACCGGGTGAGGTCGGTGACGGCGGCATTGATGCGCCGCCCGAGATCTTGGAGCACCATGGCGGCGGGCGTGTGTGGTGTTGGTAGTGATGGGGTTTGTGGTGGTGATCTTGGAGCAGGCCAGTCGGTGGTGGTGGACTTGTGGGGAATTAACATGGCCCCGCCCGCTATCGGCGTTTGCCATCCCTGTACGCCGACGTGCCCAACTTTTTTCTAGATGCACGTTTCGCATCGACAGGTTCCACTCACAACACTCCCACTACCACCCACAATGGTCAACACATCGCTCAAGCGGCGCCGGACAGAGGACCAACTCCGTGGGAAGGTGCCGAAAAAAGAGAAGAAGAAGGTCAAGAAGCAGAAGTTTTACCACAGTTCGAGCGAGGACGAGGGCGGCGCACGCGATGCCCCAGTACGCGACGACAGCAGCGACGACGAGCCCTTTGAGCCCACCGGCGCCAATGCGCTCGCGGCGGAGAAGATTGTCAAGCCCGTGAAGCCCGCAAAGTCGGCAAAGCCAGCGCCCAAGCTCAAGGCGAAAATCGCCGTCAAGAGCGTCCTGAAGAAGACAGCCCCAGTCGCGCCAGTAAAAGAAGACGCCGACTTCCCCTCCAGCGCGGGTGAAGATGACGACAACGACGACGACCTCGAAGGCGACGAATTCGACATTGCAGACTCGGAGTCAGACGCCTCGGAAACCTCCACCACGGCCGCGCGCAAAGTGCGGAAACGCAACGACCCTGAAGCGTTCGCGACGTCGATATCCAAGATCCTCAACACCAAACTCACCACAACGAAGCGCTCGGAGCCGATTCTGTCGCGCTCCAAGGACGCCCAGATTGCCAACAAGGAGCTAGCAGACAATAAACTGTCTGAAAAAGCACGCAAGCAGATTGTCGCCGAGAGGAAGGCGGCGCAAGAAAAGGGCCGTGTCAAGGATGTGCTGGGACTCAACGACCCAGCCGTGAGCACAGCCGCCACAACAGCCAAGGAGAAGGAGCTGCGGAGGACGGCGCAAAAGGGTGTTATCAAGCTGTTCAATGCCGTGCGAGCAGCCCAGGTCAAGGGCGAGCAGGCCGAGCGCGATGCCAAGGAGAGCAATGTCGTGGGCATGGCGAAGCGGGAGGAGAAGGTCAAGGAGATGAGCAAGCAGGGCTTCCTGGACATGATTACGGGCGGGCAGACAGAGGGCGGTGGTGTGGAGGTGTGAATATCTCTGTCGCGTAATCGTTTAAATACATGTCTTCATGATACCTTATATCCATCCTTACAAGTACAACGTCCAACCATCCAACAATAGAGTACACACACATACATCATTCATCCCCCAACACAACGCACCCTCACTTCTCCTTAAAATCACTCGCCTGCAAATTCCGCGTCACACTCGGCAGCCTCACAACAACCCCATCCAGCCCCCTCGTCATCTTAACCTGACACCCCAACCGACTCGTCTCCGTCAGCCCAAACGCCAAATCCAGCATATCATTCTCGTCGTCGTCCGGCTCGTCCATCTTCTCGTAGTACGCCTCGTCCTCGACGATAACGTGGCACGTCGAGCACGCGCACGACCCGCCGCATGCGCCCTCCATCTCGAGGTCGTTGGCTTGCGCGATGTCGAGTAGGTTGTCGCCTGCTGACACGGTGAAGGTGTGCGGCTGCGAGGTCTGGTCGAGGAAGGTGATTTTGAGCCTGGGGGGTTAGTGTGGAGGGGGGGAGGGGGAGGGGGGACGTACTCTTCGCCGGGCTTGGGGGGGTCGAGGTGCCCGTGCTGCGGGGTGGGGGTTGTGGAGAAGCGTCTTTGGGGGTGGGTGGCTTGGATGCGTGGGAGTATCGTCGTGGATGTTGTGTGCTTGGCTTGTAATGCTGTTGTCCAATTCGCGTGTTGAGTTGAGAAGGACCGGCTGCTTCTTGCGCCTGTGGACTTTCTCGCTGCTCCCGCCCCGCTGAGACGCAGAGCGCTGCTGCACACACGCTTTGCTGCCATTGTACCCGCTGTAACGAATGTAGAAGGAGAGAGGAAAGGGGAGACTGTGCGCGTCACGCAAAAAGGTGTAACTTGAATTCCGCCGCCGGTGAGACGTCAAAAAGCACGGCCCTAGCCCGCGTTGAGTCGACCGCAGATCGGCAGTGGAGGAAAACGCCCGCGGAATGGCACTTGTCTGACCTGCCAGCCAACAAACAACCCCACTCATTTCTACACACCACCACCACAACCACTATAACCATGGCCGACGTCCTGCCCCCCTCGCGCAACGCCCCGAATCCCCTCAGACCCTACTACATCCCGCCCTCCATCGGCCCGCCGCCCGACATCCCCCAGCCGCAGGCCCAGACTGCCGCTCCGCTGCCCGCGTACAGCAGCTCCCGCACGCCGCCAAAACCGAGCTTGGGCAGCCAGGCACGAGATATATTGTCCGATATCGACTATGATTCCTACTTCCCCGATGCGACGCCGACCGTGGCCGAGCACGCCAAGAAGCTGCTCGACCAGGCACTGTGGAATTATACCAGCGTCCTGCTAGCACAGCCGTTCGAGGTCGCCAAGACGATACTGCAGGTGCACGAGGCGCGGGGCGAGGTGCCGGGGCAGCGCGCGGGTAGTGAGGAGTGGGGCGCGAGGAGCAGGCCGCAGAGCATGGCGAGTGGGAAGTTCGAAGATGTGAGTGCTGCTGAAGTGGGGGATGTGTGACATGTGACATGTGAAAGTGAAGACTGACGGCGTGCAGTACCCCTCGGAGGAAGAGTCGGACGAGGACTCACCGGGCTACTTTACCTCGACGGCGCCGCCTGTCGGCCCGGCATACTCGCCTGGTGTAACGAGATCAGGCTCGCCGGAGAAGCGGAGGAGACAGGGTCTCACGCCTAACCAGCGCTCACGCTCACGCTCCTCCACACCGATACGCCCCCTCCATCCGCCATCGTCGTCACGCAAGCTGGACCTCAAGAAGCCAGACGCCCTCCTCGAAGTCATCGCCCAGCTCTGGCAGAAGGAGTCGGCGTGGGGCGTGTGGAAGGGCACAAACGCAACCTTCATCTACAACTTCCTGCTCAAGACGACCGAGAGCTGGTTCCGCAGTCTGATCTCAGCGCTGCTCAATGTGCCAGACCCAGGCCTAATCGGCACAGCAGCAAGCGGCATAGGCGGTCTGGACATCGTCGACAGCCCCAGCCCGCTCGTCTCCCTCGGTGTCGCCGTAACAGCCACCGCCATCGCCGCCACCCTCCTCGCCCCCCTCGACCTAATCCGCACACGCCTCGTCATCGCCCCCATCACCTCACAGCCCCGCTCCATCTACCCCTGCCTCGCGCTCCTCCCCTCCTTCACAATCCCCACCGACCTAATCCCCGCAACCCTCCTCCACGCCTGCATCCCAACCCTCATCTCCTCGGCAACCCCCCTCTTCCTCCGCTCCTCCTTCGCAATAGACCCCCTCCTCACCCCAACCGCATACTCCCTCTCCACCTTCCTCTCCTCAACAGCGGAACTCTTCGCTCGCCTCCCCCTCGAAACTGTCCTCCGCCGCGGCCAGGTCGCTGTCCTACATGACCAGGAATCTCAACGCTATGTCCCCCCCGCACAAACACCTACATATCTATCTCAATCTCAACCACCCACGCCAAGCAGCCTCCGCAGCCCCGCATACGACATCACAGGCGAAGACCAGAACGCCCCCTCCAACACCAAAGCAAAAGCGTTTGATACCGTCGTCGACCCCGGGCCCTGGAAAGGCGTGTTTGGCACGATGTGGTTTATCGTTCGCGACGAGGGCGTTACGCTTGAAGGGCCGAGTGCGGCGAAGGCGGCGAGTGCGAAGGCGGCGGGGTTCTCGAGGCCGATGAGGACGAGGAAGGGGCAGGGTGTTCATGGGCTTTGGAGGGGGTGGAGGGTGGGGGTCTGGGGACTGGTTGGGATTTGGGGGGCTGCTGCTATGGGGGGTGGGGGGGGGGAGTTTTAAACCTGGGAGTGAGGGGGTGAGGGAGGGGGTGATGGGGGTGTGTAAGATGGGGGGTTTGACGACTACACTCTACGCATTTGGTTGGGTACTGGCGTTTTATACATAGCGGTGCTTTTTTTTTTTCCTCTGTGGGGATGGAATGGGATGGAATGGCGTTTTGGGGGGTTGGGATATATATATACTTATCCTGCATTTTAGACTTTATCCTTTCTTTTCCCCTTTTTTCTTGTTCTTGTTCTTCCTCTTCCTCTTTTCACTTTTCTAGCGGAAAACACAAATCAAGGGGAATTCTATTTCCTAAAGACTAGAGGCCCAGCGACCAAATGAATAGAATGACGTTGTGAAAGAAGAGCGGAGTTTATCGGATATAAAAATAGTCAAGTACCGTAGAAATGTTGGTTGCATCATCACCATCACCACCACCTCAAACACCCAACACGCCCAATCGCAACCCCACCCCAAAAAATGCTGCGCACCCTCCGCACCCGCCTCCCATCACCACCGCTCCGCCTCCCCAACCTCAACCGCGCGTTCTCCACCTCCCCCCCAATCTCAAAAATGTCCCCCCTCCGCATCGGCTTCGTCCCAGAGCACTTCTCGACCCCCCTCGCCTTCGCACAAAAACACCACAACCTCGACGCCACGCTCCTCCCCTTCCCCTCCGGAACAGGACATATGGTCACTGCGCTGCGGGAGGGCGAGATAGATGTCGGTGTGGGGTTGACGGAGGGGTGGGTCGCTGCGCTGGGGAAGGGACAGATGGGACAGACCTCTGGACAGTCCTCTGGACAACCCTCTGGGCAAGCCTCTGGACAACCCTCTGGGCAAGCCTCAGGGCAACCCGCCAGGCAAGCTGTCGGGCAACCCGCCGGCTTCAAACTAATAGGCACCTACGTCGAAACACCCCTCTGCTGGGCGATATCGACTGGCGCACAGCGCGAGGATGTCAAGGATATTGGGGGGCTGGAGGGCCGAACAGTCGGCGTATCGCGCATCGGCAGCGGGAGCTACGTTATGAGCTTTGTGCTCAAGGAGCAGCAAAGATGGGGGAAAGCGTTCAACACCGCGGTTCTGGATACGTTCCAGCGGCTGCGGGAGGGGGTTAATACGGGGACGGCGGATTTTTTCATGTGGGAGCATTTCACTAGTAAACGGTACTTTGATAATGGGGAAATTAGGCGCGTGGGGGAGATTTATACGCCGTGGAGTTCGTGGATGGTGGTTGCTAGGGATGAGCTTGTTGAGTCGGTCGGGGGTAAGGGGGAGGGGGAAATGAAGCTGAAAGAAGAGCTGGATGATGTGCTGGACAAAATTAATAAGGGCGTTAGGTATTTTGAGGAGAATACTGAGGAGGCGGTGGGGTATATTAGTACGCAGTTGGATTACTCGGAGGAGGATGCTAGGGAGTGGCTTAAGACTGTGCGGTTTTCGAGGGATGTTAGGGGCGTGGATAGGGGGGTTGTGGAGACTACGGTGGGGGTGCTGAGGAAGGCGGGGGTTTTGGGGGAGGAGGTCACTGGGGAGGGGATGGTTGGGTTGGCGAGGGAGTGAATGGATGGGATTTTGTCATTCAATTCGCGCACACAGCATGCGAATTGAAGGCTATGTGAAGCCTCGGTGAGGATATATCACCCGTATTCCCAACTCGGTCAATCTATCTACACAACGTCAACCAGCGCACCGCCATGCCTCTCCAAGACAACACCCTCCACCTCTCCATCACCGACCAAATAACATCCCGCACCTACATCACCCGCCTCCTACTCTTCCCCTTCCCCGACCCCGCCCACGCCAGCCTCGCTACAACAGCCCTCCACACATCCCTAACAGCAACACTACACCAACACCCCATCCTAGCCGGCACCCTCCACCTCGACCCCCACACAAACCGCCTAGTAGCGCACTACCCCCAACTCATAACCCCAGCCCACGCCTCCCTTATCTTCAACATAAGCACAACCCACATCTCCAACCCGCTTCTAGACTTCCACACCCTACAAACCGCACACTTCCCCCCCGCCCACCTCCCCAGCCAAATCTTCTGCCCCGCCCTCCTACACAATCACCCCAGCTTAGACGACCCCCTCGCAGACGGCATCCTGCGCTTCGACAAGGGCCCCGTGCCCGTCATGGCCGCGCAAGTTACCTTCATACCAGGTGGCCTGGCGCTGAGCGTGTATGTGCTGCATAGCATTGTGGATGGGTATGGCGCTACGAGGGTGTGCGAGGCGTGGGCGCGGAATATCCATGCACTTGGAGGAGGGGGAGGGTATATCGACCCGTCGCTTGCGCGTAGAGCGCTCGATGCGCTTGCCACCGACCCGGGTGTTGTGCCGTGGTGTCCTGAGCGCCGGTTACTCGCCCCAGGGGAGGTGGAGAGAGGGATGCGTGTACCGCCGTATAGAGTGCAAGCAGAGATCCTGCGCTTCCGCTTTGTCGTTATTTCAAAGCTCAAGGCTGATCTTGCGCGGCGTGTGGGTACGCGGGTATCGCCCTTCGTCGCCATCGCTGCCCTGCTGCAGACGCATATAGCGCACGCCCGTCGCGCTATTCTGGATGAACATCGTATCACCACGACGACGCTGGGTGTTGCGGTCCAGCACCGTGCGTGTCTGGGGATGCGGCGCGGGGAGCTGGGGAACTGCTGCGTTGGGGCAATGGCTACATCGCCCATCCCAAATGCGGGGAGTATAGCAGTGCAGTGTGTACTCCCCGCCGTGCTAGCTATCACGCACGCACTGGGGGAAATCGATCGGGCGTGGGTGCTGCGCCGTCTCGCTTTTCTATCCCACATCTCTCATCCGCAAGAAGTGACGAGTGTGTATCGTGTAGGCAATGGTCCGGATCTGTATATCACTAACCTCATGCATTTCGGCGCTGATACGATGTGG